TAACATAGATTGTTATAATTAACCTCTTGCGAATGGCTTCTTAATGTGTGAAACATCTAATTCAAAGCGGGACTGTAAAGCAAATATTATAGAAAGAATAAGCTTTGCTAAAAAAACACACTTATTTTGCTGCTTATTGGTTTGTCACTTTCATCACTGTTAAGCGCATCAGAATTTTGCTGTATAATTCTTTAAACTTTATCTGCTATAGTTTGATATATCAAAGCAATCTATTTAAACAAATTCTTTGAAAAATGCTGGTTTTGACTCAATAAGTAAAAATATTGATCGCGTGAAGATTCTAAAAATTGCAAAATTACTGAAAAATTTTACATAATTTTTGTCAAACAGATATTACAAAGAACTAAATTGTAGATAATTAGGTTATATTTATATATATACTTTAATTTCTTGCTCCTACTGCACTCAGTAAAGATGTACAGATAGCATAGGAAAAGGATAATTTTTAGTTTAATATAATGTCCTACACAAAAAATTATTACAAAAATTTCATTGTTTTTTAAGTTTGTTAAATTAATTTACACGGTTCTGTAAAGGTGAGGAAATGTACTCAGCAACTCTTCTCTTCTATCCTTGAGGTTGATTACCAAAACGCTCACAAATGCACTATTATGGTCTTTGCAAGATTATCACGATAGTAGTTTATTCTCCGTCCTTCCCTAATTCAGTCAGCTGTTGAACGATAGGATCAATTTCTTCCACTAATTTTGATAAATCTCTAGCCTTTTCTCGCTCAACTGAAATTTCCTTCGAATTTTGATAAAACGCTCGTCTTCGTACCTCCTCGTTATCATGTTTTATTCTGGGAATTTTTATGCCTCTTCATACGCGTTCTCTCTTTTCGAAAGACAGTAAACCACTTAATTAGCTCAACCTTTTAAGTACATGACTAAATACCTGAATTTTATTTAAAGCCTGAATGTGCGTGTTTTTACATCTGGTAGGCTCGAAGTAGCTCCAAAAGTCACTCCACTGTACGAGATTTTTATAGGTTTCACATCGGACAGTATCTTTATTTGAGGTAATTCAGAACTTGAGGTTTAAGGAGATTGTTGAGCATTTTCGTTATTTAATTTCAAATTATATTCAATATACAAATCTATCGTATCTAGTGCTTCCCAGTCCTCTTACAAAAGTTCTAAAAAATCCTCGCCACCTTCGTTCATCCAGCTTCTACACTACTCCTTCTCCTCCTACGAACGGTCCGCCTTGCGTGACTGTATTTGGCTCCAACTCCTACTGTAGTCACCGTCCTAGCTATTTCACCTTTTCCACTCAGTAATTCTTTTTCTCAATTGCAATCTTTACTCGCACTTCCAGTATTGAAGACCGTAAGATGCTTCTGCAAGCTCCTCATTGATACACTTATCTGTTCTGCTACTGGCTCTGACTTTATCTACTTTAGTTCCAGCTTTAAGGTATTATTTCTCAGTCTACTCTTAGGCCTTTGGTCGGGCCTCATAGAAAGTATGTCGTGGCTAACACATGACTCCCTAAAATGAAAAACTACTAACGCAGCAATTCCTCCTACACTCTTTATTAGTCCTTCCTTACGCTGCAATATTTCCACTGTGGACTATTAATCCCTACGCTCCACAGCTACAATCACAAAAATCTATTTCTCTTCCTCAATTCTTTTAAAATTTTTGACTTCTGCGTCTTCCATCTCTTCTACAACAAAAATCCTCTTTTTGGTCAAAATACTTCGTAGACAATGACTCTTCTTAATTGCAGACCCGCCATTTATAGTTTAACCTCTTTATTTTTGTTTAGTCTTTCTACTTTCAACCAGCAAATTTTGTGAACATTTGTTCGGATTTCATACCAATAACTGACAAAAACTCAACAGAACAATACAAAAATAACAAATTTAACTAATGCTATCTTAGAGATCTGCAATGGAGATTTCAAAGCTAGTGTTACTTATATTT